ATATATATATATATATATATATATATATATATATATATATATATATATATATATATTCCATGGTATTTTTCCTGAGGTCAACCTTCCTGGTTCATCTTTACATATTTGGGCTGCCCCTACATATGGTGCCCAACACTGTTGAAATTTTCTGTAGGGTGCAGTCCCATTAAAGAAGGCCCAACATGGGTTGTCCAAAGCATTAAATTGAGTAAATGCAATATGGTCAATCTAACTTGGAGAAGACAAGTGACACTAAGAAGGGTTGACTTTTTGTTTCAAGATTGAAGCTCAGAAACACACTGAACTGGTCCTTGTCTTGTTATTACAAGGTGGAATTGGAAGAACTCAAATCCTATGTCTAGCTAGCATCTTCCCTCTTCAAAAAATTGCATGAAGGGGGCAGGATGTCCTGATGGAGCCAATTAATGACAAGGTTTTCCATTTCACAGTTTGTTCAGTCGAAAGTTCAGTAACCTCAGATGTTCCGAAGGTTTTGCTCATCTGAGATGGGATGAATTCATGTGTTCCAACCCTTACCGAGGATGATGAGATGTATCAGATGTCCAATGTTTTCAGAAAGTTGTTCTTTGAGATGTTAGCTTGATGATAAGGAAACATTGCCTTTATGCTTCAGCCGAAAGAACAGACAGGTTGTGGGCAATGACACAACAACTCTTCAGTACCATCATATCAACCATGTAATTAACAGACCGAATGCTCGATCTATTACCTCACTGCAAGGTAATTGGTAGCTCTTGAAACCTCCACTATAATTCATTTCACAGGGAGTACTACTGATCTGAAATGTCCAGATTCATCAGCAATCCAAATGAGCATGGAACAGTAGCATCCTTGGAGATCAAGTGCACATGCTAATGGAGAATCTTGAGATAACTCTTCTGCTGATAGATTTCTGGATCCAGACTGGATATTACAGATTTGGAGAGCATGATAATGTTGTTGGATTCAGTGTGCAGAAAGCAATCTGGTGTCTCATCTAGAGTCACCAGCCTTCCCCAAACATAGTAACCATGCGACTATTAATGTTGGCAACTGGTGTGAGTACCACCATCATTGTAAGGTTAACGCTCTTATGTCAACCATGCAAATGCAGTAAAACTCCATTTCTGAACAGTATCTTGAGAAAGATATTACAACTTGTGACAAAAGGCATCAGTTGATATACGAGTAAATGTGCCACCATCACAACAGCTGTTTGGGCCACTCTTAACTGTTCAGTAAAGCCTTCTATCTTTTCTTAGATCTCTAAATTAGGCATGTGTGGTGTTGGTACCTCAATGGTAACCTAATAGATTAATGAGATGACTGGAATCACTTCAGCTGTTCCTTTATCTGCTGATCATGTAAACAAAATGATACTATGAATGCAATGATTCAATCTCAGCATTCTCTAGAGGTGTATATTGTAGTTCATCCTAAACATACTCTATATACAACAAAAAAACAGAAAGCTTTAGTAGATTCATCACTCTTTCTAATGAAAAGGTAGAGTTAGTCTTGACTTACATTCGATTCGAATCGAGATCGAGCTTGTCAAAAATCAAAACTATAATCGATTAATCGTTCTACGGTTCGTAATCGAGCCAAACTGGAACTAGCTTCTAGCGATTCAATTTCGATTCAGTTCCAAACCGAAAGAAAAAATAATAATAATAAATAAAAAGATGGATCGGATTCCAAATCGAAATTAAACGATCGTTCCTAAATTGCTGATTGTCTGATTCTGAAGTAGTTGAGTTTGGAGATCAATTTATTTGTTAAACTTGTTGACTTTTAGTGTTAGGAAGCCCACCATAAGATCTTAGTGTTTTGGTTGCATAGATTATAGAGTTTATTAAGTCAGCTGAAATCTACATGAGCAGCTTAGCATAGTAGATCTATTAATGGGACACAGTAATCAAATACTTGCACGCTAGTGCAGACAATTGCAATCAATATATGAGGAACAAGATTTGCTGTCACAACTTAATGCAGCACCTAAGAATATTAATAGGACTCCTGTTCCATATCGATCGTCCTGATGGAAGATGTGGCTGTGGATACCCAACCCTTCCCCGATGAAAGAAAGAGAAAAGACAAGACATGAAGACACTACCGATATGAATCCTTTTCGTGGAGTTGAGTCTCCGAGACAAATAAGTTGGATGCCACACAAAAGGAGAACAAGCATCGTGCATGGCATTTCACAGTTCAACCAAAGATAATGAGACTTCATGACCTCGTATGTCAACCTTGATGAGGTTGGAACTGCCTTCAATTATTAGGTTCATAGCATCTTTCTTCCCATCCACATCTTCTTCGACTATCAAACCTTCCTAGACTTGCATGCACGAAGGCTGTAAAACGGTGGGAAAACAAAGTCAGATACATGCACACTAGGTTTCAAACACATACAAAAAACAATGACAGAGAACACCTATACGTAGCAGTTCAGTCAAATGCCATCTTGGCGTAGAATTCATGTCAGCTTTATTATTTTAGAATTGTGATTCCGCAGTTGACCACTTCATCGAGTTAACTCCTGCTTGCTTTGGTCAAAGACCACTAAAAAAAGGACTTGGAGTGTGCTATTAGACAAAGAGGTTACTCATACATTCCTCTTAAGCATCAGATGGATCTTTCGGAACCAAAGTATTTCTATATGCCAATCTTGTCATAAGTTCAAAGGAGAACCATGATTGATTTTGGATACCCGATAGATATCTCGAACAATCAAAATATATCTTAACGCTACTGAAGTTAATTCTAGACATAAACTTGACATGGCAAATCTTACTGGAGAGGGATCCTTCCGCTTGTGCGAATATGCTACCAAATCAAATAGGTTTAAGGACACACAAAAAAGAAAAGAAAGACAAAAGCACATGGGTGCAATGTTGGCTTTCTACGTTGGATTTGTCTTCCTCCTAAGATCTTCATGATCGAGTCAAACCACCGCATCGTTAACAGGCACTGTCGGTGATGGTCCAACACATCATAATACTTTGGACAGTCAAAATGTTCCCATTAGGAGTTTAATGCTCTTCCTGATATCCAAATGTTCAGCCAAAACGCAGATTCTGTTTGTAATAATATATCTCCACGCATAATTTGCATAACAGGATGGAATTTAACCTACAAATCTTACCGAGTCTTGCAGATAAGCTTAGTCTCAACCATAAGCACAGTGGCCAGGTGACCATCGTTCACTTCGATGCTGAAAAGAACACCCACTTTTTTCTGACAAAGCAAGGCGAGGAAGCAGGTGGACATGAAAAGATCGCAGATTCTGCGAAGCTGAGAGTAAAGCTGTGGATGGTTGGA